GATGTACCTAGTATTTATATCAATGTTCGATGTGAATGATATGAATGTTCACATCTGCTAATGGTGAGTGATATTACTGATGTGAATGTTCACATCTGTTAATGTGAGTGATGTGAATGTTCACATGTGCTAATGGTGAGTGATGTGAATGATGTGAATGTTCACATCTGTTAATGTGAGTGATGTTACTGATGTAAATGTTCATATCTGCTAATGGTGAGTGATGTTATTGATGTGAATGTTTACATCTGTTAATGTAAGTGATGTGAATGTTCACATGTGCTAATTGTGAGTGATGTGAATGATATGAATGTTCACATCTGTTACTGATTAGTGATGTGAATGTTTACATCTATTAATTTGTAAAACAGTCATGCAATGTATTACAGATGTGAATGTTCACACCTGTTATATTATGTTGTTGTTAACATTCACATTTGTGTATCATTTAAGTTAACAAAACATAATAGGCATATAATTTTCACTGCGAATGATGTTAATGTTCACATCTGTCAATGTGCATCTTCTCATATGTCATTTTTATGTTGTTATTAACATTCACATCGAACTATCATTTAAGTTAACAATATAAGCATATAATGCTGAGATGAACATTCACATCTATTGAAACATAAACAAAGCAAAAGTCTAGTGGTTACCAAACATGTACTTGTAAAGATGAATGCTGAATCCTTCAAACTTGGGTTGACTAGTCCTTGTAGTTCAAGTAGAATTTCACCATATGCATCTATCACCTGCAGAAACAAAGGGGTGGCAGGCATTATTTACAGTGTCTTTATAGTGTGTGTGTATGTGTGTGTCTGTGTTTTGTACACATTTACAGTTGTTATACGTTGTTGGTTATTGATTCTTCCTTGATGATATGTATGATGTCATCAAAATACACATCTTTAGTCTTTGAGTCCCCTCGCCACACTAGCAACCTGTGCATTGTGATTACAGAAAATGTTAATGTCAACATTGCACATTTATGAAATGATCTAATTTATTAAGTATGTATGTGAACTGAACATGGGAAAAAAAAAAAAAAATCAGTTGGGGATATGTACGATCACTTACTCATCACCGTCGTTCTTGTGCAAATTTTGGACCTTCTGTTTGTTGAGTTTGCTTATGCTGGCCCAAACCTTGAGTTTGTTGTTCAAGGTTAACTTCTTTTTTTTTGTTGGCTCCTTTTTCTGTGGATGCTTGTCTAAATCTTGTGCAATTTGGACTGCATGGGATTGCTCTTCGGCTCCCTCTTTCCTTTTCTTTTGACCAGGCAAGTTGGGGTATTCAAACTCATCCAACCGGTGCTCTTTCCTCACTTTCTGCTTGATGCGCTTTACCCTCGATGGTGGGCTAATAATGTGTTCCAATGCTACTGTGGGATGCTTGTTAAGGCTGTCATGAGCCTTTTGTGCTTTAACTTGAGTGATAATGTGGACGGACTAATCGTCAAAAAGGTCTTGAAGAATTGTTTTTTCACATTCCAAGTTCACGACCAACTTTGTCAGCCGCTGAATTTCTTTATCTTTCCACTCCATGCAATTCTTCATGTCCATGTCCCTATTGAATAGGTCCGATTGGTCAAATAGTTTGGCTTTAAGGGCAGCAATCACCCTTGCCCTCAACTCCCATGATTCTTCCAACTGTTTGTATTTCGCTTCCCATTGTCGTACAAGACCCCAAGTTTTTTGGTTTTCTTTTATAAGTACATCCACAATGTCTGGTTCAGTTGGTTGTGCTATGATGATACCTCTCTCAGCATTGGGGTTGTTACAGCTGGGGTTGATATCATGTCCAACTTCATTCAGGTCCATTGCATCGACAGAAAATCTATCCCTGTCGTCACTACGTTGATTGTCTTTGCTTTCATCATCATTTCTTTCATCTTTCTTTGCTGGTGCACTTGACAAAATCTCAGGTTTAGGCTCCACATTCAATTTTGTATGATGGTACATGTTCACTTCAGTTGGGGATGCTATTAGCTCGCCGTCATATACCTGCAGTTGGAGACATTATGTTAGTTAGATAGTTCCTTGACTCATTATGTGAATGGACACAATATTTTTGGTTGTACTTCTACCTCATTTAAACCAAGCTTGGCCAAAGATATAGACTTCATGTTGCTATGTAAGGCTGTGAGGTCCCACTTTACACATCGTGGAATGGCATTGGGGTTGCGGTGTTGTAAGATTGTTGCATGCTCACACAACCAGTACTGAAACAAATAACAAGTGTCAGTAACGTGAATGTTCACATCAATTAACACTGATGTGAATGTTTACACTAGTGGCTAGTAATGTGAATGTTCACATCAATTAACACTGATGTGAATGTTTACATCAGTGGCCAGTAATGTGAATGTTTACATCAGTTAACGCTGATGTGAATGTTTACACCAGTAGCTAATAATGTGTGTTTATACATTACTGAACAGTAATGTGAATGTTCACATTGTTGATGTCAATTTCCACACCATTGCCTAGTAATGTAAATGTTCACATCAGTTATGTGAATGTTCCAAATTTGTTTTGGTGCTACCATCACATCAATCTACACTGATGTGAATGTTTACAGCAGTGTCTACTAATGTGTGTTTGTACATTACTGAACAGTAATGTGAATGTTTACATCATTGATGTCAACTTCCACTCCATTGCCCAATAATGTGAACATTCACATCAGTAATGTTCATATTAAATATAGAATAAGTTTTATGAGATTTACCATTAACAACATCACACATCCGGTGACTCGTCCTGGTTTTCCACAGTTTTGGCCCAATGAACCCATCAGGGTTGCCCGGATGCTCTCAGCTCAATCATACTCGATCATGTTGTCTAATGGGTCCATGTATGAGTAGAAAGCCCATTCAATTGTTTCTCCGAATGTAGAGAAGAAGAGCTTGACGCATGCATACATGCAAACTAATCTTGCGACCTCTTCATTGTCTTGTTTCTTGATGTCCTTTAATGTTTCGCTCAGAATTTCTCGTATTTTGGTAGCACTTAACCGACTAACATCCTTACACATCCGGCGTATGATGCTGGTTGTTGGTTTTGCACCAGAAGAGAGGTCCATCGACTTGGTGCCGCAGTCCACCCCCCAAATCAGTGATACATCGCTTCTAAAAATCTGGATGTTCTTATCCCCAATGTAAAACCTCCCACTAGATGGCTTGAATGTTTACACTATACGTACAATGGCATCATCATATTTCATGCAGTGGTTGAGGTCGACTTCATTATTGATCAAGCAATCAAATAATGGCCAAAACGGTGTTTTTCTAAGGCATTTTAATTGGCCACTTGTAAATTTGGTATCCTTTAACAGTTTGACCAATCCAATTAAATTTGATCGGTAGTTAACTTTTTTCATGTTCACTTCTTCAGGAACAACTATTTGATCAGGTTTGGCTTTGGCACGGGATTCCCCTCTCTTCCGCTTGCCATCAAATCTATGGGGAAGACCTGGGTGTTCAAATAAGAACATTTAATTGGCTGAAAAATAGGAGATGGAATCAAAAGCACCAAACAACATTCAACAATCAACAGTGACAGTAATCTCAACATTCACATCATTTACCAAAAGCATCAAACAGCATTCAACAATCAACAGTGTATACTAATGTTAGTTTACCCAGTATAGTACTGTGAATGTTCACATCATCTATGTTTGCAAAATGAATTCCGAAAACAACAAAAGTTATAGGGCAATGTAAATGTTTACATGAGTGATCACATTATGTTATCATTGGCTAAAAATCAAAAGGTGGAACCAACAGCACCAAACAACACCCAACAACACAAACAAGAATGACATTGATGCGACAATGTGAATATTTACATTATATTCCATCACATTGTTGAGTGAAGATTGGGGGTTCTATGGACATCAACAATCAACAATATCAACAGTGACAGTAACGTGAACATTCACATCGTTATACACTGATGTGAATGTTCACATCAGTGTCTAGTAATGTAAGTTTACCCAGTAATCAACACTAATGTGAATGTTCACATCATTTGTGTTTACAAAATCAACTATGAAAACAACAACAGTTACAAGGCAATGTAATTTTATATGGGTGATCACATTATGTTATAATTTGCTAAAAATCATTGGGTGGAACCAACAGCACCAAACAACACCCAACAACACAAACAAATCTGACATTGATGTCACAATGTGAATATTTACATCATATTCCATCACATTTGTTGAGTGAAGTTTGGGGGTTTGTGGACATCAACAATCAACAATATCAACAGTGACAGTAATGTGAACATTCACATCATTATACACTGATGTGAATATTCACATGAGTGTCTACTAATGTAAGTTTATCCAGTAATCAACACTAATGGAAATGTTCACATCATCTGTGTTTACAAAATCAATTCCGAAAACATCTATGTTTACAAATTCAAATCTGAAAACCAGAAGGTGGATGTATACATCGGTGATTACATTATGATTGAAAAGCAGAAGGGGGAATGGTATTGCTTACTTTTGTTCCTCATGGTGGGTGGGTATGGTCACTCTCAGTGGATGAAATAAACTCAATCCAACGACGAAGAAGCATCCTTTTTCTGATGTGAACCTTCGTAGTTGTGAGATGAAGAGGAATCTGGGGTCGATGGTGGACGGTGGACGACGACGACGACGTTGGTGAGGCGATGTGAATCTAGGGTTACTGGAGGCGATGTGAATCTGGTTTCGTGGATTCAGTTTTTGTTTTGAAAATTTTGTGGATTGAATAGTTGGAATGGAAATGGGTTTTAGTAGAATCGGTTACACGCGGGAGAGGCGAAGGAGGGGTATTTCATCCTTTTACAATTAATGAATTCAATAGAATATTCAGAATTAATTTAAATTTTATGAAATAAAACAATTACAAATAGGATTTATAAGAAACAGAGCACTCGATTTTAAATAAAATTATTAATATAATGGTTACATCCCAATATCGGTTAACTACTCTCTTATTAATAAAAGATTATTATTTATTTTGGTCGAGGTTCACTGTACCTTAGCATCTTCCCAACGCAACAACGGGGCTTTCAGTTCAGTAGTTGCTTCGAAATCAACCCTACTTTTTCCGATTTTGTTGTCAAATTGCAGCATCATCATCAAAATCCACGCAGTTTTCGTTTTTGTTTTTCTTCCTTCTCTCTTTCGCAATCTCTCTCTACCTATTTTAATGGCGATTTCGGATGAATCTGCAGCAGATTTCAAAATTTCGCCGCCAAATACATTCGGATCCGTCGTAATCGGAGGCACCTTCGACCGATTACACGACGGTCACCGCCTTTTCCTCAAAGTTCTCTCTCTCTCTCTCTTTCTTTCTCTCTCTCTCTCTCTCTCTCTCTCTCTCTCTCTCTCTCTTTCTCTTTATGTGTGTGTGTATGTATATCTGAAAATGTATGTGATTAAGTTGGTACTTACAGAAAGCAGCGGAATTGGCTAGGGATCGCATTGTGGTTGGAGTTTGTGATGGACCCATGTTGACTAAGAAACAGGTATTTTTAACATCTCTGTGCTCTATGCGAATCCATGTTTGTTGATTTTTTACTTTGTGATTACCATAAATTGCTCATTGCTTCACTCACGATCTCTCAAAGCACCCTTTTTGTTATCTTAAATTTCAGAACACTAAGGTAGTGTTTGCTTTGCTGTAATGATTTTGGGTAGGAACGAAATTTTGTCATATGGAATGCTCGTTATGCTAAATTGGTGAATGACCTGGTTGGTAGAGCTGTGGGAAAATGCTTATAGCTTATCCCTCACCAGCTTATAGCTTATAACTATGAATATAAGTTGATTTTTGACTTATAAATTAAACATCTCCTGTCCTACGCAAAGAATAAGCTGATTTCTGACTTACAAAAAGTTATAAGTTGCATTGTTAAGCTAAACAAAACACATCAAAATAACTTAAATTAAACTGAAAGCTGAAATAAGCAGCTTTTAAACTGCACCAAATAGGCACAATGATGGAATAGATACTATTCCACTCCATACTTATTTCAGAAAATCAAAGCTAGAATAATTTTTAGGGAATGACCATTTCTTGGCAATGGAATGCCATTTTCTGAAATTAGTGAATGGTGATTCTATTTCCAATTTAATTTAAAAAAAAACAAAACAAATATGAGGATGGGTATTTTGACAGAACAACCATACAATTTTGGTTTAATTCCAGTAAACCAAACACTACTTAATAATAATAATAATTATTATGGGCGTAAGAACTCAATTTGCTTTGAATTTGGAAGTCAATCCCTCTGTATGAGTTTCAGTGAGTTGTCCTTGTCTTATTTTCCCCTGTTAATTAACTTGTATGATGGTTGACGATCTTTCACCTCCATTCACTACTACCGTGTATAATAATTAGATGTCTGTATTTGCAGTTCTCTGATCTAATCGAGCCCATTGAAAGAAGAACGTGGAATGTCGTAGACTACATTAAGGTATAGTTTTTAACAAAGCATTCAGAGTTTAGGTTCTTCTGTACTAATAAATAAAGACAGAACACCTATTTGTTTCATGCTGTCTCACGATTTTCTTAATTCCAAAATTGTCCCTTGACACTCTCAGTTTTTGATTTCTCACCTTCGCTCAAATGTTTCATTTTGTGATCAACTGTTTCTGTTTTTAACTCTTCAACCAACCAAAAAGCACTGAATAACTATAAATCTATATATATATATATATATATTTTCTTTTAACTCTTCAACCACCTAAGAACACATAATAAGTTTAAATCTATATTGTTTTTCTCTTATCATCGTATTCTTTAAGTTATTTTGTTCAAACTTATAATACGTTTCATGTGTATCTAAGAGATAGACATGTTTGTTCCCCCAACTATTCGAAACGCGTTTGGGTCTAAAAAAATAATTTGACAAGTTGGAATGTGTGTCCGACATCTGTTGATTAATGTTCGATGAGTGTTAGTATCGGACAAGGACACGTCACAGATAGACACCTTCTTAGAAGTGTCTATGCTTCTTAGTCAACCACTATCAAGCGCTTTAATTTTTGATTGTGAACAATTAAAATTTGGTTAATATGGTTTACTTTTATTGGGCTGAAACTTATAGCATTATATGGTGGCTAAACACATGGACCAACACTACCTTGTCAGAAACAGTTTTGAATATAAGAGGTCAAGCTGTTCTATTTGAAGCAAACCTTATTCCTTATCTTTTATGATTATAGTTTATGTTTCCTTTCTGCAAATATTTTACCAGTCAATCAAGCCAGAACTGGTAGTGCAAGCAGAACCTATCACAGACCCCTACGGTCCTTCAATAATTGATGAGAATTTGGAGGCTATTGTTGTCAGGTTTGTTCCTTGATCAATACATTTGTTCGTGTGTGTGTGTAATGTATTTAGTAGGAGTGAATGAGTAAACCATTATTGTATTGTTACTAGCATTGTCAAGTGTTGTGTTCCATGTTAAGGAGCTTAGAATCATCTTGCATTTGGTAGGGATGGATTTCCCCCCCTTTTCTGTGAGGAAAGGAAAAAATGAAAAAGTGGAACATATGTTCATGTTTTAATTAGCAATTATTGGATTGCTAGCCTGCATCAATTCTCAAGTATTCTAAATTTGGCTCTAGCGTTTCTGAGTTTGACAATGCTTGTTCATATCTTAATTATTATTGCTAGTATTAGTTAATTGGATATGTTTGTCGCAGCAAGGAGACACTATCAGGTGGACTGTCTGTGAATAAGAAGAGAGCTGAGCGAGGCCTTTCACAACTAAAGGTTTGAGTTCCGGTTATGTGTGTGTGTGTTGTCTCACCACATGAATTCTCATTATATGAATCATTTAGGCAAATTGAATTGCTCTAAATGTCATAATAAATCGTCAAAGATAAAGCCTTACTGCCTTGGATTTTGTGTAGGTTGAAGTTGTAGATCTAGTTCCTGAAGAATCATCGGAGAGTAAGCTGAGCTCCACGACCTTGAGGAGGCTTGAGGCTGAGAAGGTCAGGGAACCTCAGCTCGGATAACAGGTATACCTATATGGAGTCTGTGGGGCCTTGAAGGCGTTGCCTTTGTATTTAATTATTTATATGGTTGATTTTGCCAGGAAGTTAGCATTTCACATACTAGATTAGTCAAGTTTTCTGATACGAACCGTTGATGTTAAAGAAATTATGCAACCATTCCAAGAAGAAAATAAATGTTGAATTTTACTTAGTTGTCTTATGTAGAGAAGAAATAAAATGAAGCTACGTTGAGTGCAATCTCTCTCTCTCTCTCTATATATATATATATGTTTTCTTCTCTTGTTTTCTTTTTCTTTTTTAGTCTGAAATGAACTGTGCTGATGCTGGTTCCTGATGACTGAAGAAAACATACCACTATATTCTTCGGGTGCTTCAGAATTTGTGGTTGAAAAAGCTGTTTTTTTAATTATTAATTATGAATTATTATTTTTCTATTGACTAGCTGTAGGATCCAGAAAAGCTTGAATATTGCTCTGGTTACGAAAGAGGAAACACAATTTTATGTTCCGTTTGTTTTGTGAAAAATAGTTTTTAATAAAAAACTTGTTCTGTAAGGTTGCGGTCTTAAAATTAATGTACTAACTATTAATTGGTGGTGGTGGTGGTGGTGGAGGTAGAGGTGATGATGACTGTGGTAGGTGTCGTTATATTGGTAAGTTTTTAATTTGGAAAACGTTTTGGAAGGGGAAAAATATTTTTTGGTAATATAAGCTTGTTTTCTATTACACACGGAAAATGGTTTAGGTTACTTCAGATTTTTATCGTACCAAACACAATAACAAAATTTTCAAAAAATGTTATCCGTTCAATGAAATGGAGTGTTAGAGCTCACTCAAAATATAATGCGGCAGTTACGAACTGATCTTGTGAATTAGACTTATTTATTAAAAAATGTTTTAATTTATAGTAATAAATTTATCATTGTAAAAATATTTTTATAAAAGGCAGTGGCTTTGGTCCAGTCTAAGATCGGATTGAACTGTGCTGTTGGGTCCGTGAAGGCCCACCACGGGTCCCGTTTTGATAAACCGAACCGTTCAATATGTAGAAGTTGTCGAGTATTATATGCCTGCAAAAAATTACGTTGATCGGATATCGATAGTTATGTGAACAAAATAGTTTTTTATCAACCGTTAATTGTTTCATCGTTTATTTATTTTTTATACAAAATTGATTTGATCACATAGCTATTGATATCCGATCAATGTGATTTTTTACAAATATATAGTACTCGACGAGTTCTACACATTGAACGGTTCGGATTATCAAAACGGGTCCAAAAAATGGACCCCATGGGCCGAACTGGACGGGTCCAATCTTGATCTTAACTTGAGACAAGCTGGACCCTTTAAAAAAAATTACGTTTTTCACATTATATTTCAATACAAACTAACACAAATAAGTTAGGAATAAATTAAAATTTACAAACAAGAGTCAAGAATATTTAAATTATTTATCACTTTGCTAAATTTTTCAGTGTCATTATCAATACCAAATGATCATTCTCTAAATACAAAACATATATAAAAAGTTATAAATTTTCTTTTATTAAAATGAGGAACAAATACGTTAAAAAAATATATTTAGAATTTATAAGTAAATAAAAACAATAAAATAAAAATACAATCAAAGAGGCCCTTCTAATTTTTTTACTTCCTCTTCAATTTTTTTTTCATAAATTTAAAATTCAAATACAATTTGACGGTGACTGTCATGTGCGTAATACAACTCCAGATGTTGTTATAGGTTGTTTTTTGTTTTTTTTGGGTTACAGAAAATGAAAAATGCTTCGAACCCCCACTGAGGGTCGACCCCTAGTGAAGTGGCGCGCTGTGATTGGACAAAAAAAAAATTATTTTATTTATTTATCTATTTTTTTGAGTTTCAGCCAGTGAAGACTAACCACCTCATTAGGGGTTCGACCCCCACTAAGAATCTACAGCATAGTTGACAGAAAATTCTCATATCCTTCTACAGGTCTAAAACATCATCCGTATTGAGATCATCAAAATATTTTATTATCCATTCTAAATAGAAGATTATAACTAAAAAGTTTATACCAATCTCCCAACACAAGCCTAATTTAAGCCAAAACTAGCTGCATTGGGATGTCAAAGCCACGGCTAAATGCACAACGCCTTTTTATGTCCAAATGCACGAGGGTCGAGAAAAATCGGCATCAACTCTACCTTAATTTAATTCAAAAACTGTCTAGGAAAGTTTTCAAATTTAAAATAACAAAAATGTTTAAGATCCCTTTTTTTTTTCAACTCCCTTTGACCCCCTCTCTTTTTTATTGGTTAGATTTTCTTTTTCTTTTTTTATGTTTCCCTTGTCCTTCAATCACCACCTGCCACATGTGTGTGGGGTGGTGGGGGTAGTGATTGGAGGGGGTCTCCATCACTCCTCTTAAAATAATATGTTGGTTATAAATTATTGATTTTCGATTTTGATGACACATAACAACTTTATCAAAAGGGAGAGAAATATTATCATAATTGAAGAATATTATTGATTAATAAAAGGTTAAATGATTGTTCATTTATCAATAGGATTGTAAACAGATTTGAGTTTGATTCGGTAAGGATTTATTCGAACTCAGTTTATTAATTTTTTTTATGTTCAAGTTTGAGTTTGAGTTCGAGTTCATTAAATTTTTAATAAATAAATTCAAACATTCTAAAGCCTAACTTGTTAACTGGCTCGTTTAATATTTATTATTTATATTTTAAATAATATAAAAATATGTACAAAAAATAAAATAAATATGTTATATATATATATATTTAAAAGATATAAATGTAAATAATAGTTAACTATAGATAGTACATTTATGTACGAGTACGAAATAATTCTTCTCGTATGATCTTGTTGATCAAACTTGTGCTCCTCGAAACGTCGTCGCTTTGTCACCTGAGAACACAAACGTGAGTTAACCGGCGGGTATGTGTCGGAAACTCCCCCGATGCCTAAGTTAGCACAATAGACAATAGACACAAAAGCTCTGTGAATTCAGGAATCAAAGTTGTGTTACCTCTCCATAGGTGATGTTATGAGCTTTTATAGGTTCTGCGTGGCACAATCTTAGTAGGACTCTTACTCCTCCATGTAGAATCCTCTTAGGAATTACACTCCTGAATGATAATGCTTATCCTTCACCACCTCCCTCACTGCTTAGACCAAGTGAGATGGTTTTACCACGGTTGGATGTCAATATGATCGAGCTAACATGGCCATGCTGAAGCCGCAGACTAGACCGAACTCCAACTAGCTCGGTTCTTTCTTTCACTACGTGTACCTCGGTTTGACATATTCCAACTGAGCTGTTTCCTTAATACCGAGCTAACCAAGTACGAAGTAGGAGTTAGCTCGGCGCTCAAGCCCACAATGCCAAGATAGCTTGGCTCTCCCAAGCACAATGCCTAGCTAGCTCGGCCCATACGCTTAGTCTTTTAGACCGAAGTAAATCTGCTTTTACTTTGGTCCATCATGCAGCCCAATTAACAAAGAAGTCTCCTACTTAGTTCGGCCCCATATAGACATAAATTTCCCTCTCAATTGCACCTTAATTCCATCTGCGTAGCATGATTGGGATTACATGTTTCCAGCCGAGCTAAGATTTTAGCCTTTCAACAGAGCTAAACTGTGGTCTTCAACCGAGCTAAATTTACAACGGGCTATTAATCTGTCTGGTCAAAAACGTCTTTTCAGATGCTATCACTGAATCGCTTTCTATTCCATGTATGGCAGACTCTCATTGGCCTAGCGTAGTTGTCACGCCGTCCTCGTACCTCGAGAATTTTGAACAGTCCTGCTTTTTTTCCTTCCATTTTCACAAAACAAACCCTTATGCTTCGAACCATTTCACTTGCACTATTCATTTTCTCTCTCTTTTGCTTGAGCCTCCATTTCTGCAACCTTTGCACCTGTGAAGCTTGTATTTTCAACACCATCTTTGTGGTTTCAAATCGGCATCATTCCTTTTCCAATCTGTAAGTAACTCAATCCTCTTTTACTTTCCATTTGACTGGCAACATGTACCATTTGTATATACGTGTTTTCTCACAACACTTTTCAAATAGTTTTCTCTGTAATGAGTAAGAACTTCTTGAATGGTACTCACACCTGCTGGATTTGCGAACAAACTGAAATGGGACGTTTTTAGATCCAAAATCGCACTCCAACCGAACTAGGAAGTTGTTTGTATTAGGTACGAACGTAGCCGAACTAAACAATCGAACTAAAACTTCACGCCATACTTGTAGTTTCAATAGGTCTAAGCACCTTCTGCCTTACTTTAGTCGAGCTAGGGAACTGCATTAGGTTTGCACAATGCCGCACTAGAAAGCCTCAACCATCGACCGAGCTATAACTTGGGGCTAAACCGGCTCCCTGACTTAGTCAAAACAAAACTAAGAATGCTGCCCTATAAGTTACAACCGGGCTACAAACTTCTCATAACTTAACTGGGCTAAAGTCCCTTGCTCAAACCGGATTAAGAATGGATAGCATTCCACGTAGCCGAGCTAAGACAACATTTATTTTTCCTTTTTTGCTTTTAGCACGGTCCATTGATCTGTGCTTAACACTTTTTCCTTTGCACTTTGCAGACTCTGACTAGGTTGCCCAGGCACTCCTTTGAACGTCCAGCGGAGATATCCATCGTCATCTCAGCACCGAGTTAGCATTCCAGCTTATTTATACATAATTTAAGACCTCATGGGTAAATATAGGTTTTTGGTAAACTCACCAGAGGCTATGGCCGAGTTCCGAAGGGACTATCATATCCCTGATGATGTCCATCTTACTTTAGCCTAACTAGACACCACACCCTGGGGAAACCCAGGCTTCGTTCCCTTCACCCTTCTTTCCATTGTAGAAATCGGACTCCGATTCCCTGTACAGCCTCTTCTTTGTGAGTTCCTTAGGCAAACAAACCTCTGCCCTACCTAGCTTTCAACAAACTCATACCGAATAATAAATGGCATTGCCGAGCTAAACCACGGGCTTGGCCTCAACCTTGGTTTGGCCGAGCTATTTCACCAGTACTCTCTAGGCCAAAATGAGGACGGCTGGGTTTACTATTTAAAAATAAGGCGCTGCCGTGAAAAGATAATAAAGAATACCCCAGACAAAGATGTAAACGACGATGATTTTTTTGGGTTTCTGGAAATTTTGAAGACCATGAGGCCCAGATCCCAGGCGACCGAATAAACTGGAACAAAGGAGTCGCCGGT